GAACTGGTTCTACAGGAGCTAGAAAACATCGCCTTCGCCCAACATGAGCCTGGCTTCTGGCGCCGCTACGTCAATGACACGTTTATCATCATCAAGAGACACATGCTGCAAAACTTCTATGACTTGCTCAATGGAATATTCCCTGACATACAATTTACGCTGGAAGAAGAACAAGAGCAGCAGCTGCCTTTCCTTGATGTACTCATCAAGAGAACGCCTAACGGTGAAACTGATACGACGGTCTACAGGAAGGCAACTAACACGAAACAACTTCTCAGTTTTAACAGCAACCATCCGGCTGCCCACAAACGAAGCTGTGTAATAGCGCTCTTTAAACGAATTCAAACACACTGCAGTAGACCAGAGGACAAGGCACCCGAAGCCCGGTACCTCCGCGATCAGTTCATTTGGAACGGTTACCTGAAAGCATTTATAAGCTGCTGCCTACGCGTACGGCCCCGGAGGGTCCAAACGAAAGAACCTCTGAGGATATAGCACACCCCACCGTACATCAATAATGTCTCAGAAGCGACCGAGCGCATCGCTGCGGAACTGGGTGTTGGAATTGCACACCTTCCCAAGGCTACCATGCGCAGCCAGATAATGAAAATAAAGACCCGCTAAACCCCACGGAACAATCCGGGTTAGTGTATCACATCCTATGCTCAAGCTGTCCTTGTAACTACACAGGGCAAACTGGACGCATGCTGGGTTCGCGTATAAACGAACATAAGCGGGCTGTCAGGCTGGATGAGGCACTGTCGCAAGTGGCGGCCCACACCCATGAGACGGGCCACGACTTTAATTTCGCAGCAACAAGGATAATTGCTCACGCCGGGAGCAAGACAGAACGCGAGCTCATTGAGTCCTGGGCCACGGATAACAGATGCATTGAGTTAGCGCCCGCATATACTGCTCTCCGCAGGACCACCCGCAAGGCGGACACTGCTGATCAATGAACCCTCTCCCCCTCTCCCTACCTGTCAAACTCCCCTTCCTCCCGCTGCCCGTATGACGTT